CATTGATTAGGCAATAAATGCTTCTAATAAGGATTATAAAATGAAACTAAATAATTTAATTTGACAAAGTCAATAGAGCCAATACTGATTAGGCATAAATGCTTCTAATAAGGTCAATACAACCATCATATCATGCAATTTAATCTTTTCCTAATAATTCATTTAAATTGATTAATTTAATTTGACAAAGCATACCAAAGTCCCAGACTGCAAGGTTACTAAACATAGTGGCATTGTATGTGCATTCCAATTAGCTTAAGTTTTTCCCAAACTCCATAGGTTGTCTAATCAAAGCTCAAGATTCTCAACATTTTTGGTAACTTTCTCCAAACTCTAAATAAAATTACTGAAAATTGTCATTTTGAATTAATTTTTACCTATCTAGGACATAGAAATAGAATTAATTACCAAAAAAAAACTATTTGCACTTGTCTTATTAACTTATATGTTTGAGCAAATGGGGTTTCCACTATGCCACACTTGTTATATCTAAATTTAAACTTTAATGAGAGAATGCAAGGTTTCTTATGTTCATTATTAACAAAATAGAAGAGTTGAAATCTTGAATAGGAAACTAAATTCTACCCAACCACATTAGTAAACACTCGACTCTAGGAAATTCATATGCTAAAAGTTATGTAAATGGAAAAAATTAAAAAAAAAGAAGAAGTTAGCTTTACAACTGCCGTGTTGTGAAATTTTATCAGAAATAATTTGGATTTACTAAATAAACATAAAGGCATAACAAGTAGAAAGAAAAATATTGTATCAACAATTAAGACTTAATGTAACAAACATTATCCCTTCATAAGTTTTTGAGTTATAACCAATGACTTGAAACAAGAATAGAATAATACAAATTGGAATATACTCATCAATCAAGTAGTGAATTCATAAATCCTCATTTAAATTGCAACAACAACACACATTATATTCCAAAAATATAACAATTTTCTCTTTTATGGCTAAGGCAGTAATTCAATTCCCATAATTCCATACAGAAAGAGTTTATAATAATATACATAAAATCACCTAAAGACAAAAAATTTTTGAAGAAAAGTGTGACAAACCCCATTTAAAACAACACAAACCTAAACAAATATCTCATGCCATTCGCTATACATTATACTCCCCCACCTTGAGGATCCAAAAATTGAAACAAAAGATTGCACTATCATTACAAATTATGAGAAGAAAGAAGTTTAAATTTAAACTTATGTGTGTAGTACAATGCAGTGATGAGGGTTTCCACTACGCTGCACTCAATCATCTTTTTTTTTTTTCATTGCATGATGGTTTTTCAATTGTTATTTCATGAGAATCAAAGATAGTGAAAAGTGGGAATTGCAAAAAAGGAAATGGTGGTGCAAATAGCATGTTCAACAACAAATAGATGAAAAATACAAAAAATAAAATGTAAAGATGCAAAAAATGTAGAAAATGCCAAACATGAAAATTACCTTTGTTGGGATTAGTCCTTTTTTTTAGAGGCGGTGGGATTTGGAGATGTAAAGGTGGTGGAAGGCAGAGAAAAAGAAATTGAGTGAAAGTGAAATAGTGATTTAAGCCCTAACATTTTTTTTTTCAAATAGAGGTTGGCAATTTTTTTATTCGGAGCTTAGATTGACTTTTGTAATAATAATCGTTGGTATATAACATATATATATTGACGGATATTCATATACTATAAAAAAAAAATTTATTTATACCAATAATTATAAAAAGTGTTGGTATAGGTATTGTATATTCTGATAATATTAAAAATCCGTTAGTATATATCTTTCTTACTAATGCAATTTTACCGTCAATATAACTGAGCGTTAATATATACAAAATTTTTTGCAATATGAAGAAGCATTTTCCTAATTTTTTTTTTTTTTACGTTGCTTAGTTGTCCCCTCAATATATATTGAGGATAGCTTTTATAGTAACATAGATGAGGCTAATTTATATTTTTTCAATATTTTTCTAATTAAGTATTATTAGTAGCTTACTAGATGGTTACTTGCACATTGCTATAGGTCAAAATTTTTTATTTTGTCATTCCTATTCACTAGTTTTTTTTGTTGCAAAATTTATCTAATTTAAAAAATTTTAAAAAATGAAAAGTTAAAAGAAAAGCCAAATAAGGGTGATATTTGAATACCTCAATTGATCTCATTTTCTCACAAAATTTATCTGATAAAAAGATAAAAACTAAAAATAAAAAATGTGAAAATGTGAAAAAAAGGAAAAATAATGAAAATCTTTCATTGCAAAATTTATTTAATTAAAAAATACAAAAAAAAGACAAATGAGAAAAAAGTTAAATGAGAGTGCAAAGTGGACACCTCCGTTGTTTTTTTTCACAAAATTAATTTAAATAAAAAGGCATTAAAAAAAGGATAAAAATGAAAAATGAAAAATAAAAAATAAAAAATAAAAACAAAAAAGGGAAAATGTAGCTTAGTATAGTATCACATTAATATCCTAATTGAGTTTCAAATGTCAATATCTTAAATTAAGGTACAAATAATAACTTTATTAACATAATATATATAAATAAAATTAAATAGATAATAAAATATGTATTTTTATATATAATACGAGAAGGCTATAGTAAAGCAATTTAAATCTACTTCAACTCATCCCTACTTTCTTAAAAAAAATCGACTTAACTTAACTCAATATCGATTTATTACAAAATACATGCATATTGAATTGGAATAGATTGAAACCCATCAGATACTGATTGTTTAACTATCCCTATCAACCAACTTATTTTGTTATAAAATTTATCTAATTAAAAAATAAAACAAAAACAAAAATAAAAATATGAAAGGAAAACACAAATGAAGGTACACACCTCTATTAACATTACTTTTTCCTAAAATTTATTTAATTAAAAAACAAAAAATTTAATTAATAATAACAAATGAGTCTCACCCTAAATCTTTATCATTTATTAAATATGGAGAGAAGAAAAAAAGAGAAAATAATGTAAAAAGGCGAAGAAAATGAAAAAAAAAAGGTAAGAAAAAGAGTTAAAGAGGTGAGACATGTAAAATAACCAGTAACTCTTTGTCTCACCCTAAATCTTTATCTTTTATTAAATATAGAATGAAAAAAAAAAGGCAAAAATAATGTAAAAAGAGAAAAAATGAAAATGAAAAAGAAAAAGAAAAGACAAAAATGGAGTTAAAAGGTGGGTATGTGAAATAAAAAATGTTTAGAATTTATATCATGAATAATAAAATATATACTTTTACGTACCCAACGTAGGTTGAGGCAAAACAACATTAACCTGAATTCATTTCTTTTTAAAAAATATAATTTACCCTAACTTGATCCTAATTTTTTTTTTTTTAAAATAGCCTTTTATTAGATCTGATCAAATCAAAATCAATTAAATGTTTTGCCATCCATATCAATTAGCTACTTCTGCTACAAAATTTATTTAATTAAAGAAACAAAATAAAAATGAAAGGAAAAAACAAAATTGAGATGCCACCTAAATATCTTCATTGGGTTTTTTCATGAAATTATCTAAATAAAAAATTAAAACAACAAAAAATGTAAAAATGTAAAAAAAAAACAAAAAAAAAGTAAAGAAATATAAGTTATCACGTTGACACATTGAATGAGGATCAAACAAAAGTAAAAATAAGTAAATTTTACATAATTGGTGGATGGATGTGCAAGTTTTTCAAAAATTTGAGACCAGGTTAAGGTTTTTGTCTTTTTTTAAATTAAGATTGGTTCAAAGGTCAGTTTAAAGTGGTCTTTCTTATCTCGAATAAATATAAAATAATATTTTAATTATTTATTTAGTTTTATATTTATATAGGTATTATATTAATTATATTATTTTTTAGTATCTTAATATAGTAAAAAATACTATAGTTATACATAATTAAGATATAATCATTTTAGATTAAGGTAAACCGAAACCCATGGGATATAGGTTGTTTTGTCTTCCCCACATCAATTGACTTTTTGCTAACAAATTTATCTAATTAAAAAAAGTCAAAAACTTAAAAAAAAAAAAAAAAGAAGGGCAAAAAAGAAAAGAAAACCAAATGGGTATGCCACATGGTTCCATTAAATTACAATATTAAATAATAGTTTTGTTAATATAATACATATAATTAAATAAATAATAAAATAAATTTATATATATTCGGGTAGAAAGAAATACCCTAAACTCACATTCAACCTAATCCTAAATTCAGAAAACAATCTTGATCCAATCTTAAATAAAAAAAAAACTTATTAGAGTTGGACAAATCAAAATTTATTGGATATGAGTTATTTTATCATACATACCTCTATTGACATTTTCTTTAGAAAATTTATTTATCGATTTTTTTGTTACAAAATTTATCTAATTAAAAAAAAAAGACAAAAGGCAAATAAAGCAAAATAAAGTGTCATGTGTACACATCTGTTAGCATTTTTTTTCAAAAGAGTACTATAATAAAAAAAGGAAGAAAATAAATAAAAAAATAAAAAAAAAAGACAAAGAGGCAAAAAGTAAAAAAAATTAAGTTGTCACACAATATTAACGATGAGGTTTTCTTACAAAATTTATATCATGAAAGGGTTTATATATGTTTTAAATTATCTAATTAAAAAAAAATTACATATTTTTAATTAATAATATCAAATAACCTAAAAAATATAAAAATAATTATTAAATACTTAAAAAGAAAAAACAATAAATAAAAAAAGAAAAAGAAAAGAAAAAAAAGAAACAATAGGATAAAATGATGAGTGCCACGGGGCACTAGGTGAGCACTACAAAATAAAAAAAGGAAAAAATATTTATTAGATATTGTATAAAAAATAAAAAAATGACAAAGTGACACATGGCACCCTAAAGAAGTTCCATACATAAGCAAAATTTATATATAAGATTTTAAAAAAAAAAACTTCTAATATTTTAAAAAACTTGTGTGTATGTATATTCTTTTAATTACTTTTCAAGAAAACAGAAATTAATATTAATGCCTAGATAGGAGACCAATGGGAACACTACACGATTCATTCATTAAGACAAACAACTCAATGTATGGATAGGAGACCATGCGTCCATGGGATAAGATACTAACCCCACAACACACTTCATCTAAAGCAACATACCACAACATAAATAGAAGTACAAATATAACTGTTTAAACCCTCAACCTGGACATCACAGGTTGTAACCATCCACTGTTTGCTTTTATGCTAGCTATCTAAATTATCTGGTCTTCGTCTCAGCTGCTTTTGTTTGAGGAATGGATCCAAAAACTCTGTCCCAAAACGCTGTAGTAATCCCAAAGCCCTTATTTTGAATCCTGAAGTGATGGTTCAAGTGATATTTCTGCAACAAACGTCCTCAAATCAAGCAACAGAACACTCATCTAAAATCTGCTACATTATTTTGATAACTTCTAAATTTTGCTTTTATTAATAAGTCGGTGGAACTGAAATTTTAGTGAAAACTTACTCTAGAAAATGAGTGTTAAACTAGCAAGAAAAGTTACCTGCAACTCGTTAAAGCACAAGTATCTTACCTTGAAGCTTTTAATAACTTGTTTGGTGGGCTGACCATGGTGTACGTAGTAATGGGTGACATCATAAATAACATACCCAATTAAACCACCTCCGAAGAAAGCAGGACTAGCGGAGGGAGTGAACAAAAGCTTATACAGGTACCAAAACTGGCAAAGAGACAGCAAAAAAACAAATGATAAGTGGAAAATAACGAATTAGAATAATTAAATGCAACAAAATGCTTTTGATCTGAATTTTCACAGTTCAGCATTTGAGGTTTCAAAGGATTTTGGCTGACAGTATCAGGATCGGAATAACAGGAAATGGAATTAACAACTATAAAGGTCATTTACACACAAACTATTATTGGAGCCCTGAGCTCATCTACTTGAATGGAGTCGTAGCAAGCATCATGTAGTATATGAAGGTATAAGAACTGAAGCAAAATATACATACCGGTATGCATAGTGCAGCAAATTCAGCAGGTGGAATAACAAGACGTAGGCCATCCATAGGATGCTTGTGGTGGCAGCCATGAAGAAGATAGTGTATGGTGTTTCCCCTATACCAAAGATGTCAATGAATTATTACATCATTCTAGCGTACTCTGACGGCTAACATACGCTGAAAACGGATTAAAAGTCATAATAAAACAAAAGTAAAATATATGTAAAACAGTTTGTATGTGTACAAGTGTCATAAGCCCCAGAGAGAAAGAACTAACCAATAACTCTTTGTTTCAATGTGGAAAACGAAACGGTGAGAACAGTATTCTAGAAATGTCCACACAAACATGCCAAAAGGAACCATTAAAGCTATTTGGGGAAGCGTATGCCCATTACTTATGGACATTGAGATGCAGTAGCATGCACCTGGCAGCCATATGGTTGGAATTACCCACCAGACAGTGCGGGTAAAGAACTGTTTCAAGTAAAACAAGTCAAAGAAGCATTAGCATGTTCTTACCAAAAATGGCCTCAGAAATGCTTAATTAAAATATTTCAAAATGCTTGTTAATACCTCCAAAAAATCACTCTCAAAAAATCGAGGACTTTCATGGCTCACAATAGGCTGGTGAACCCACTCCTGATAAGTTTCTCCCAGGTGACCTACCTGCCATAGATACTCATGATCTATAATCCTTAATTGGAGTTAGATATCCCTATCCCTAATTTTCTCAAGATGATCTCCCCTTTGCCTTAAGATTGCTAAAGAGGATTTAAAATGGAAGAAGGAAGCAAAAGCGAGCAGCCAAAACAAATGAGGGAACGAAACAAAACCAAAATCATTTTGGTACACATGCTTTTCCCACATGATCCACTAAACAATAGAAAATTAAAAAACGATCAATATCTCGCAATGCTCTTTTAATCAAGTAAGATAATGAATATGAAAATTGAAAACCAATTACAAAAAGAAAACAATATCAGTCGACCACACATGCTTGTCCCAAAGATAAAAACAAAATGATTATGGTACCTGGAAGACAAGGGGTTTGTTCAAGTCAACGGAGAATTCCTGTGCAGCCATCTTCGCAACTGCACAAAGAAACCATTGCCAAACACGTTTCCACAATTCCAACTGCATAAGTTCCAATTCACATTTCCACAATTCCAACATCCAAACACGTTTCCCAAACGCACAACACACAATCTACTTACGTTTCGTGTATTATTGCTCAAAATGTTTTGTACCTTCAAAAACCGCTTTTATCCAACGTCAATACTACAATAGTGTTGTATTGCCGAAAATAGTTTTTACCTTCAAAAGATGCTTTTATCCAACTTTAATACTAAACAGTAGAAAAAAATGATATTTTAAATTTAAAATTTGATTTATAAATCCAAACTAAAAAGCTCCTTTAAATTTTTTTTTTCGATGAAAAATATACTAAAAATAAAAAATTATTATATTATACATATATTTTTAATTTTTTTACCATATCATACTTTTTTATAATGATATCAAATACTTAAAATTTTTAATCATATTTTCTATTCTCATCTTAAAATTTTGTTAACCGCAATCGTAATACTGATCTAGGCCTTAAAAGAACCAACCATCAATAAAACCCCACATTTCAGAAGAAAAATAAAACAACTTACCCAGATCTTGGAAAAAATATGTGGAACTAAGCCAAACCCACGAAGCTTCTCAATGTAAAAGACAGAGCACCACAAAGATAAGTCTGAACTGAAAGTTAAGACTGAAGTTAAAGGAATAGAGATTTCGGGGTATAATTATAGGAGAATCGTGGGCAGAAGATCTTAACCGTTGATTCAAAAAAATTTAGGATATCAAAGAATGGAAGTGCAACTTGTGAGATTCCGTTTTCCCCAAAATAAAATAAACTTCTAAAAGATTGTTTATTTTCTTGATAATTGTTTTATTTTATTATCAAAATAGAGAAGCTTTCTATAACCAATCTTTTTTTTCGTGAGCCTTTTTCATTTAATCAAATATAAAACTAAAAGAAAAGAAAAAGAGATTTGAGGTTATAATTATAAGGGAATCGTGTTGAGAAAATACCACTGTTTTTCCTACTACTGACAGCAAAACTTTTTTCAAGAAAACAATTGATTAATTAATGCATAAGATGTAGAAAAACTACAAGCACTGAAGCTCCACCTAAAGAGTTAAATGAGATAATAGACACATATTTCAGAAACCATTAAAAAAAAGTCAAGTACACTCGTCAACCCTGCTGGGAGAATTGTCGAATCCCATACCAATATTCCGCAGCTAAAGGAAGAAAAAAATTCCAGACGTACCAATATTCCACACCTAAACACAGAAATTACGGTGAGTAGTAGCTTTCTTATGAAGTATGGGAGGTAGGTGGATCTGCTATACACACCAATATTCCACAGCTAATGGAAGAAATTATGCTCCATTAATTGTCTAACGGATCGTATTGTTTAAAAGACCGCCGTCAACCATGAAAAAAACCCTCCGAGGCCTCTTAACTATCTAGCTTTTGAATTAATTATTAGAAAAGACTTTGACTTTGCATTTGTATTGATCTAAATATTTAAATTATTATTAATATTAATTTTCATAAATATGAACAAATCTCATTAAGCTTTTTTTTTATTATTTACACACAACATGACTGATAAGTATTTATTTAATATTAACTAAAATATAGTAAAGTGTACCTTTACTAGCATGTGTTATCTAATAATATATAATTATATAATTTTATGAGAGTTTAGGGCTTGATAATAGTTTAAGTTGGCAAATTTAATTGTACATGAAACAATGTAATTTCTCATTTCAATTTTTTTAAAAATAAAATTTGGCATAGAAACAAATTAAGGCTGCTTGCCGTGTTTCTTGGTTTATGACTTTATGCTTTATGACCTATCAAGAGAGAGAACTTTGACTTGGCGTCAACCGAGACAAATCATTTCCAAATGGCCAAATTCTACTTCCATCATCACACCTACCATGGAATTGCCTATCTATTCAATCAATTTTGACTTTCATTTTTTTTTAAAGACTAGAATGTATCAATTGTCGCTTCCTACAAAATTCATGTTGGAAAGTATGCAGAAACTTTCATGGCGAAAACCAGAGCAGCCCATATCAACTATAACATCAATATTGTCTTATTTTGTGTGGATATTATCTTATTTGCAGCTAAACAAAGACATAGTAAACAAATACTAAATATACCTTGCTTATAGTGTTTAGTAGTAGATGTACCTTCTCTTGTGAAATATTTTAACAGAAGAAACCCAAATTAATGCGCCAACTTTAAGATCGTAAATGTTAAAAAAAACATTACTGGAATTTGCATGGTCAAAATACTAACATGATGGTGGAATCATAGAGATTTTCTATCACTAAACTGATTAATTGGATATAACAATAGTTTTCTCAACTATTGGAGAATTCGAGTCTAAATATTGCTTTCATACTACCTTTGCAAAAGATCACTAACTAAACCAACGTAAAACCACAAAGGAACTAGGCTACCCTCTTCTGAACATGGAAAATTGTAGTCACAATGAAAAAGTGACTAGCGATGATGCCAATATGGATTTATGTATAGGACGGTTCCAATTCCCAATAACACAAATCTCTAAGAAACCAAAAAGCTCATATGTAACGCGTATTTGGATATATCATATATCTTTGGAAGGAAAGATTCACATGTAACTCTTGCTAGTATAAGTGTAGTATTAGTGTTGCACCTTTTTTATCTTTGGGTTAAAATTATTAAGTCTCCGTTTGTTTTAACGGAGAATGATTTGCAGAAGTTGATTTCCACATTTTCCTATGTTTTGATAGAAAAAAAAATCAAAGTCAATAGAAAATGATTTTTCGGCCAAAGGTAAATAGTGTCTTTTCGAAAAGGCTGCCCAATTCCTAACTAAGGAATTATTTCAACAAATAAATTTATCTATTATTCAGACTGCAGAAAAATTGTTAGTCAAAAAATTTTCAGAATATTATTATGCTGGCTATATCAATATTACTATTACTGGAGACCAAATCCTAAAAATTAAATTTTGATTAATCCATGAACCTTTTGATGTAACCAGCATCGAATTTGGAATAGTTAGTCAGTTACTTGTTCAAAACCTATCATTTGAACTGATCAAAGATTTTTTTGCCTTTATCAAACACCAAATTCATCATTATGTAAAATATTTTAACATTTCTATTATCTTCACTTCACCATAACCAAGCTTTTTAGGATCTTTTAAAGAAAAAGATTTTTTCAACCCTATCAAATATGGGAAGCCCAAAAAAGTATTTCCAGACCTCTTTAGAACTAGCTATTGATGGTCTTGACAACCCTGATGACAATTGATAAACTCAATATGAAAACTGTATTGACAAAGACAATTGTACCACTGAATCTTTTTAGGATTATTTGAGAGTTTTTTGTTTTTTAGGAAGTCTCTTACAGCTTGATTGTCTATGCGGATAACGAAGGTTTTTGGGGTTAGATATATATGAAATCATTGGACACCATTTTTTATTTTATGTAATTCTTTTTCAAAAATAATATATGTTATTTTGTTTGTTTTAAACTTTCCTGAATTATAACCACAAATCAATTCATCTTTTTGATGAAGATTTTTTGCTTTAAGGATACATCCCCAATGTTCATCATTGGCATCTGTCTCTAAAATAAGTAAATCACCTTGTTTAGGCAAATAAACTTTAGGGATATAAGTTAATTCTGATTTTATTTTTTTAATAGTATCAGAATCAGCTTCTGTCCAAATAAAATTAATGTATTTTCATAATTTATTGAGTAAAATACTTTCCTTTTTAGAAAGGTTTTTAAAAAATTATCTACCATAATTTAGAATACCTAGGAATTGTTGAAGCTACTTTATATTTTCCAAAGTTTTGGAAACTCCTTAATCTTCGAGATTATATGATCTTGTAAAGTAAGACTATTAGCAGAAAAATTAAGACTTAAAAATTCAATTTTTGTTTTTTCTAACTCAATCTTTTTTGGACTAAGAATTATTCCATGTAAAATAAATTCTTGAGCAATAATATTCAGGTATTTCCTATGTTCTTCCAAAGTAGCAAAAAAAAAAGTATATCATCTATATAAACACAAAAAACTGTTTATGTTTACTAAAAATTGTATCCATCCAATGTTGAAAGATTTGAGGAGCGTTGCATAGACCAAAAGACATAACAGTCCATTGGTAATAGCCTGTAGGTGCACTAAAAGCAATTAATAATTTTGATTTTGATTTAAGCATGATTTGCTAAAATCCATATTTACAAACAAATTTAGAAAAATATTTAGCATTTTTTGATAAATTAAGTAAAACATCTTTTCTTGGTATAAAATAACCATCAAAAACTAAATTTTGATTCAACCTTTTATAATTAATAACCATTCTTGGCTTACCGCATTTAATTTCTGAATGGTTTCTTACCATAAAGGCTGAACTTGATTATGGACTTGTAGTTGGTTCTATCAAGCTTTTTTCAAGTAGCTTAGCTATTTGGATTTCAAATTTGTCTATATTCAATTTGGTATAGATCATGGGCTTAACTCTAATTATCGTTGTTGGGTCAGTAAAGTCAGCTCACAATATCTTGGACTTATTTTTCATAACTTCAATGGTTCTTCACTGAAGTTTTCCTGTAAAATTTTAAATAGCCAATGCTTATTAGTGATTGATTTAATCATACCTATCTTGAAACTTTCAGGTTGAAAGTTCTTATCACAGATGTGATTATGCTCTTGTAAAAGAGGAATATGTATAGATTGTTTATCTATAGTTAAAGGAACATAATTTGTAGAAATAGAAAAAGGTAAACATGCATGTAGAAAATTATTGCCTAATAGTATATCTCCATGCATTTTAGGAAAACAATGTATTTTTGGAATAATAAATATTTTATTATTAAAAAATACAGGAATATTTTTAGCTTTATACCCAACAATGGTTTCTTTACCATCAATGCCTACAATAATATTATGATGTTTCACAGGTTGCCATTTATTTAAAGATAAAGCATTGTTTCGACAACTAGAGATTGTTGCTCCAGTATCTAATAAAATATCAAGATTATATGGTTTATAACCTTGGAAAATAAATTCTCCTTTTATAAAGGTATAATACCTGGTTTTCGGTTTATTAGAAAATTGAATAGTTTTAGGTGCCATTTTAAAATTATTAATAAAATGAAACATTTTTATTTGTTTTGGAGGTTTTCGAGAAAAAGTAGAAGTGTTTGAATTTAAAATTGTATTAACAGAATGAAAATAAGTTTGTTGAGATTGATTATCACTAGCAGAATGAAAAAGGGTTAAGATTGATTATCACTTGCAAAGATTGGAAATTTGAGAATTAGCTGTACTGTTTGTACATCTGAATCTTACAAAAGAATTTCTATAAGGAATATAAAAGATTGATTACTATCCAATTGTATAGCATCTAATAGTAATATACATGAACAAGATGAAAGAACCTTTTTTAAGAGATGAGAGGACCACAAACTAAAACTCTAGCTAATGAGCATGTTGAATGCCCTTTCTTATTTTCTCTCAAAGGTTCTGAACACATGAGATGTCTATTCACTAGGTGATATTCTCTTATGTATGTATCTTGAGAGGGGACAACTTAATGATCCTTATATAGAGGTGGGTTTTGGCCAAGTCCTTTAACTCCTTTTCATAAGATTATCTCTATGTAGTCAAATTGCATAATATAAAAGCCTTGAGCCATTACTTATTCCTTTATTTTGGGTATTGACACAATTAAATTAAGTTCAATTTAATTTGTCCTAATTTTAATCTCCTATAGCTTATCCTATTGTGTGTGACTAATTAGGTTTCTTAACATATTGACAATAAATATAAGTAT